CCTCGGGAGGCGCCCCTCCCACCCTCCTAACCCTCGGGAGGCGCCCCCAGCTCCGCTGCACAGGGCTGAGGAACTGGGGAGCCTGAGGGAGGGTAGGAGCGCCTGCTCAGCCAGCAAGGCCCAGTGTGACCAGCAGGGGTCCCTGACGCACACAGGCAGATGCTCCTGAAGTGAAGACAGCCTGGGCGGACATGGGATGCTGTAGTCAGGCTCAGCAGCAGCATAAACCATAGGGAAGACGGACGCCTCTGCTCCTACATTTACCATCCTTGACCAAACAACTATACCTGCTAATGTTTTTACTGGATTGTATTAAAAATACTTTCATTTTTCGTTCCTTTTCACACATTTGACCAGTTTACACTTAGATTATTGAGTGGTCATTGTGACCCCCCCCACACACACATCTGCCCCTGGCCCTGTGCCCCTTCCCTCTGTTTCTTCGTTTTCTTAAACACTTGACTATCTTATGGTTTTTAAAAATTAATTTTATTATTATATACTTACATGCACATGTGTGTGTCTGCATATATGCGTTTGCCTCAGCTTAGGGACATCCCCAGGAGCTGGCTGATGTGGGTGACAGGGAATTTAACTCAGCTTCTCTGCAGGCACAATACATGTTCTTAAGTGCTGAGCCCCAGGTTTTGTGGTTTGTTTTTTTAAATTCCCCTTCATTTATCTGATTACCAATTTTCTCATTGTGATTTTTGTTTCCTAATTTACATTTTTCTGATCTTGCTCTTTTTGTCTTTTCTTTCCTAATATTCTACTTTTCTTACCGGTTTTGTCTTTTCTTTCCTGATATTCTACTTTTCTTATTGGTTTCTTTAGCTTTGATTCTCTTCTGCATTCCCACCCACCCCTTTCTTTACTATTTCTTCATTTACCTTCAATGATTTTTAACTGCGGTTCAATGCGCATTGGTTTTGCCATTTGCTGTGGGCTTTAATTGATTTTTTATTGCACATTTTTATTTACAAAAAGAAAATTGTGTTCATTTTGGCACAAAAATCTCTTGACAGATGGATCCCGAAATCAATCAGATTCCCAAGATTTTCAGACCTTGCTGGGATTTGGGAGGGACATTGCTGGGATTAGGGTGGATATCACAGATGGGACCACGAACAATGTCCTAATTCACCTCAGCAAAAACCTACTCACCAACAGGCACGGATGGGCGGGGGGTGGGGCAGTTTCTCTGCTCCCAGGGAGTGAGTGACGGTCACTTCTCGTCATCTGTGGCCGCTGAGTTGCACAGGTGCCTTACGTGCCTGCCTAAGGTTGGGCTGGGACAGACCTGGGATCCTGCTGTCCCCAGGGACTCAGCAGGTGTAAAGCTGTTAATTCACCATTGGGGGAACCTCACTGTTGGCACTAGGAGTTCTTTCTGTTTATGTCTGTAAGCACCCTTACTTTTGGTTTCCCCTACATAAGCACCAGCAATGGGGACGGGGTCACGTGACTATCTGATGCGCAGTTACAGGGCTGTTGTGCAGCCTGAACTGTCTTGAGCAGAAGACTGCAGGTCTAACCGCCAGCCCCGCTCCCCTTCTGGCAGCACTGGCCATCTGGAACACTCCATGGATCCCTTGACACAACCACAGGAAAGACTACCCTGACGGTGCTGATTGCCCTGGCTCCTGAACACACAGCCTCTGCCAAGGCTGTTAGAAACCATGTGTGCTAGGCGTTCTGCAATCACAGCCTAGAAAAACACTTCCTTCCACCTTGTCCAGAGAAGGAGCGCGCCCCCGCAGGAGGGCCTACCATGACAAGTGTCTGTTTATGCTCTGTGTAAAGACTGCCCTTGTTTGACTCAGACGCTGATTTTTGGGCCTAGAGAGTTGAGCACAGGCTGGACTTTGGTATTCTAATCTTTAGGAAACATCGCCTGCCTGCCTCGGTATTTTGGAAACATTGTTCTCCATCACCTTCTGATTGGTTGGATAAAAAGTCAAACTGCCTGTAGCAAAGGCAGGAGAGAATAGGCAGGGCTCTCAAGAGATAGAAACTCTGGGAAAGGATTTGAGTACGAGATACAGAGGAAGTCGGATGCATGAAGCTAAGGACAAGTAACAGCCACGTGGCAAAATACAGTTT